TTCGGCCAGATGTGCCGCGCGGGCCGGCGCCGTGCGCTGCAGCGCGGTGCTGCTCCCAGCTCCCGCACGACCAACAAACAGCAAAACAAACAAGGAGGAAGAGCGCGGCTGCGGCACAGTCCCCCTTGCCGCAGGCAGCCCCGTCCCCTCCGCTGGCCAAGGGCCACCGCCTCCGTCCCCGTGGTGCTGAAACCCCGCGCATCCTCCCAGCCGCGAGCGAGACGGCGGCGATAGGCGCCTGCGGAGCGCTATCATCCCGCTGGGATCATTTCTCCCCTTTCTCTTCTCCCACAGGATTTACTGCACGTTTTACCTCCCCGCCCAGACTCTCGAGCATTTCAGAGCACAACGGGCCGGGCTCCCCGGCTCCACGTGGTCTGCCGGGACTCGGCAGCTCCCACCCCTCGAGCCGGGGAACGGAGGTGCCGCCGGGAAGGTCATCCCAGCTCCCGCGCACAGCTCCAGCCAGGGACCCATTCTATGCTTATGCAAAAATTCACTTGAAAAAACACGTTGCTTTTCCACAAGACATGCTGATGCGAATCCAAGCGGAAAGCGGCAGCATTTCTTCTCCAAAAGCTTCCGAGAGCTCCGCGAGCCAGGAGCGCTCCCGCTCGCCGTTCCAGGTCTGGATTGCAGCTCCTTCCTCCTCTCGGCTGGGCGGAACCGTCGCTGCCTCGGGGCTGCCCCCAGGAGCCCAAGGGGTTGAATTCAAACACACTTCGCAGCTCCTTGGCGGAGCATCCAACACCGTCACCCTTGGAGCTGCCCTGTCCTGCACCGCGAGCGCCTCCAGGCACCCCGGGGCTCCCAGACACCCTTCGCAGCCCGATCTCCCCTTGATCCTTTCCAGCTCTTACTATTTTTTCTGGCTTTTATCCTCTTGGCTACTGGAGCAAAGGCGAAAGGGCAGCAGGAGGTTTCCAAGCCCGCTCTTTCCGCGCCACCGTGGGCCCAGCTGTCCCCGCTCCCCCTTAACTCAACTCATTGCTATTCAACACAAAATCCTAATCACCAATTTGGATACTGAGACACACAATCAAAAACCCAGCAAACACCAGGCTCGCCCTAAGCCAAAGCCCTCCTGCGGGAAACGCGCCGGTGCCGCCCAGCCCGATGCCGGCAGCGGGACGGCCCATCCAGCTCCGCTCTCTGCCCGTCACCGCTCTCCTTCTGCCCTTCCTCCTCGGGCAGCCAAACCCCGGTAATTAGAACCACGGCCGCTGTTGTCCTAACGGCATCGAGGGCCCTGCCCTCCCGCACGGAGCGGGTTCACGCGGCCCCTCCGTCCCATCCCGGTGCCAAGGGACAGGTCCCGGTTCACACTCCCACCCCGTGCCCAGCGGAGCCGGGAGCTGCCGGTGCGGAGCAGACTTGGCCCGCGCCGCTGCCGCCTTGAGCGAGGGCTGCGGGCCAGGAAAAGGAGACACAGACGTTTTGATGAGAAATGTTTGTTTTCTTTTAAAATAGTTTTAATTGTGGCTTTCTCGGGAGGGAGCCCTGCGAGGGGCCGTGTCCCCCTGCGCCGCGGCACACGGGGCTCCTGCTTTCCTGGGGCTGCTGGTCCCGGCCACCCCTTCCCAGAGGGAGCAAAGCCCCAGATATTCCCAGGATCCCAGGCTCCCGCACATGTCGTGCACAACCAGCTGGACCGCGGGCACTCACACAGGGAGAGCATTTACCAGAACAGTGTTTTTTTCCAACAGCAAAATACTGCGTTTGTTTTAATTAAAGCTAGAGCCGACGGTCTGAAGAGGCTGCCAGGCC